CGAGTGCGCAAGCTGCCAAACAGCGCACTAAACGTTTGCTTCAAAACCCAAACAAACTAGAGTCCACAGTCAAACACAGCTTTAACAACCACCTTCCATATGCTGCAACTGTCCATGGCGCCTCACTTCAAGAATCATGAGCGCACCTACTTACGAAGCCGTGCTGCAGTGCTTTGCGCTGTCGGTTTGAAACTCCAGTAGGCTGTCAAGGGTGGAAACACTCCTTGTCATGGCCCTGCAATGGAGGGTTGTATCAATAAGGACTGGATAAATCCTAAGTAAACTTTTATTCAACCTTGTTTATTTTGGGGACTAACATTGTACTGTTGTGTGATCTTGGGAGGCTTGCAACACATCGCCATCCCCTTCCTCCTCCATCTTTGCGTATGTCACACGAACTTCTACCACATTACCATGGAAGGAGAGGCCAATGCTTTGTTGGGAATGGGAGAATTGGTCATAGGGATGACAAAAATGGGATCATGACCGAAAATTACATATGGATTGCATACTGCCCCCACCCAGTAACAGCCTGTAATAGGGGTAAATTAAGGGCTACATATAAATATAATATAAGTATTATCCACCTATTGCTGGTTGGGGCAGGACCCAGCACATGGACTACTATTTGGATCCTTTCCGCCATCCCCAGCCGAGCATGAGGATGTCATCTAGACAGCTTCTGCAGCAGGCGGCCTGCATACCTGCAGCAAAAATTGCCAGGATTGTTGCTTCCAGGTCTTGGCGTGGGTCAGGGTAAACCCTTTAAACCCTCAAACCCTAAACCAACTATAACCCCATTATAACCCCCAAGCAAACCCCATTACAACCCCTGTACAACCCGACAAGAACCCCCATATATAACCCTATAAAACTCCATGATAACCCCTATATGAGCCGAGAAAAACCCCTGTTATGACCCCTACAAACCCTATAATAACCCCTATAGAAGCCCATATGGAAATCCTGATGCGGGTTCTGGGGGCCAGGTACCAGAATGGGCTGATTCTGTTGTTCAGGAATTGTTAAGTTTAGAGTTTGGGGACTCCTGAAGTGAACAGTGCTTGTAGACTGGCGCCCCCCCCCGGAACCCATGAAGGGTAACAGGGTGATATAGGATTCTAAAACAGTTTTTATAGGGTTATAGTAAGGTTGTCCTCACAAGGTTTTCTAGGATTTTCTGAGCCTATATTCATGCTATCTAGGAGTCATAACAGGGTTTTTTGGGGTTATAATAAGGGTTATAACAAGGTTTGATAGGGGTTATACTAGGGTTATATAGGGGTCCGGGGTCATATAGGGGTCACAATAGCGCTGTCTAAGGGTTATAATAAGGTTTTGTAAGATTCTATAGGGGCTATGTAATCGAGTTTTATGGGGTTATTGAAGGGTTGTATAGGGGTTATAATAGGGCTACACCCTGGATCTTCATGCCAGTTGCCCGAAGCGAGGAAGCCACTCTGGGCAACGATATGGATAGCTGTCTTTTGACGGTTTTGGCTGTATCTCTTGCAGGAAAATAAGAAACCATGACATTCTAGGAGAACGAAGGGTAGTAAGTAATGTATGCGTAGATACGAAGACCCCAAGCCAAAGAATTGCAAAGCACTGTTTCAGCATCAAGTTCGTGCCAAGCTGCTTATGTACAATCTCATCTGGATTGGTAATCTTCATCAAATAATGGCAAAGATCGCGCACCTGCTGATTCTGCGGCGAGGCTTTGCGCAGTTGACAGTCCAGGTCACTCATCCCTTGCCTCAAAGCAACAACTCCCACACCCCCTCATTATACATGTTCTCAGTCTATTGTTCACACATTTTCTAAATATACTCTCAAGAAGTCATATTAGGTGAAATGTGCTGAGAAGTGCAGCTTCTCCCTGCAACCCGAGAGATGTTTGGATCTGCTGGCTACCTGTCGTCCAAGAACTTGCTGCAACATCTTGACTGGGTTTGAATGCGAGGGATGCAAATACTGCACGGATGTGCGTGCGGTCTACAGCATGCAAATCACACGTCAAGGCCTGCAGCCTAACCGTACGTGCAGTTTGGCGCCTGAGAAGATGAGTTCAGCTCAGCGCGGCATTCGGAATGGACCGCGAGATTTCCCAAAGAAAACAGGGCTATCTTCACCTCAGCCGCATGGGGTTTTAGGTTTGGAGTTTCAGGGTCATCCCCTACAGGGAAACTCATCATCTTAACTCAGCGAGTGGGGCCCTCGCAAGACTACAGTGCCGTGTAGCATGATATCAACCAGCCCTACCAAAATTTGGACAAATACCCAAAACTAAACTTGTTAAGGGACGAGATGATATGCCATTGAGGCACATGTTGGGTGAGGTGGTTTCCTTATGTTCCTTTGTAGTTTTCTGTCCTCCTCAAGTAGCGATATTTTTGGGTTGAAGCAGATAAGATTATATCCTTGCATGAAATACACACTCCAAAAGGAGGGTAATCTTACTCTTTTTTGGGTACCATGCTATTAGTACTGCTATATGTACCATAGCATCCCCAACAAAATGCTGCCCGCTTCAGCTTTTTGAGCTAACTCTCCTCCCTTAGTCAAGCACCCTTCTAGGTGGCCATATTACATAAGACTCGCGTTAAGTATCTACAATAGCCATCTTAACTCTGGGATGTTACCTTGGGCTTGTCTTACCTAGGCCTCCTTGTCTCTTGCGGACGGGCCGCCGAGGAGTCGGCTGCAAATTTGTCAACTGCATCTGCCCTTCGCGGCCGCCGGGACAAGATCAAAGCACAAAGGCCTGCGGAGGACGGGTGACGAGGGGAGGCCCCTTGAAAAGCGTATAGAAGGACATGTAGGGATAAGGATTAGGCTCCAAGGAATTTCTGAAAAATAGGGTATTCAGATTGCGATCATCTTGGGAAGCTCCAAGGAAGCTTTCAGAATCAGGGCTTCGGCTCTGTTCAGAATTTGAGCTGCTGATAAGCTTAGGAGGCACTCTTTGCTCAGTTGCGAATTGCGTCAAGCTTCAAGGGGGAGAAGTTCCCCCACAGGCCCCCCTCCCAAGAGACAGAAATGACGGGCAAGAGGTTGACATGTCTTAGCAGCTAATCTTAGCAGTCTTAGCAATGTCATTTTTGGGATTTGGGCCTATCAAATTCGACGAGTTCAAGCGCGACGTGCTCCCTTGCATTGGTGTGTAGGGCCGGGGTGATATCGGAGCATGTATGCTTCTGATTAAAAGGCAAAACTACATTGAGAACGGATTCTGCCAATCCGAAATTAAGGAGCTCGGCAAAGAAGTACGGCAAGCCCGACAACGAACCCTCAATATGTAGCTGCGCTTACAGATGACTCAGGACGTTAAACCATAGAAGCCTTCAGCGGCTCAGGAGGTAAAAAGATCAGGGTTGCCAGGGTGGTAGAAACGTTTAATCTAGAATTTGGCGCTTAAAGTCTAAAACCCGAGCCATGCACCCTAGGGCTGGACATTCAACGACGGTTTAAAGTTCTGGTCTCAGCATGGCAGCTCTTCATGCAGAACTGGCTCACAAAGGGAGGCGATGCTGCTGTGGGCTTGCGGGGAGCTACTGTGGTGCAAGGAGGGCATGACTTTGTACGCTTTACCTTTGGAGAGGTTCAAGGTGTGTTTTGGGCAGGTACAACCTCCATCACTCACTTCATGCTTGCCTTGGGTGGCTCCCTCGCGGATCATCACACCGCAAAGCTCGTTTGAGTTCCTGCAGCAGCATAGCCAAAAAGGCTGCAATGTAACAAAGTGATTGCCTTGACAGGATCGGAACTGTTGACGAAAACTAACTATCACTCACCAGTGCGCAACAGCCCTGAGCTTGAAATCCAAATTGTGAACCAAGCAAGTTGGGCTTGAACAAAACGCATCAGCCAACAACACGCCTGACGAGATTTCCAATCCTTGGTGGCACGGATGCGTCTGGGGGCTGAGGCATTAGCGGAGCACCGGCAACGGAAAGAAACCTCATCATGCATGAGACGGTGCAAGATGATCAGTGTAAGGTCATGCTTACGCACGTCAGTCTCAAGACAAAAGCTGAGGTTCGCGGCAGAAAATTTGGCCAAACCTCTTCCAAACTTGAATTTGAGCAGCCTCCTAGGGTCCAGAGAAACAGACCCACCGATCTTTTCCACATGCCTCCGTGCCGCAGGGCTGGATAGAGGACTTCCTCAAAATCACTCATTATAGGTAGTGCCCCGACCCCTGTATAATCCCAAACATATCCCAAGAGTCCTTAACAACCCCCCCTTTCCGCCACGCCGCGCGCCGGCGGCATTGGCACGTGTTTTCTCCTCGCTATCCTGGAGCAGTCCTTGCCCAGGTTTAGGCTTTTAAGGGAATTAATTGCGTCCTTGATTAAGATTGTCGTTCTCTCTTTGAGGGTGTGCATAGCTATCACGAAAAAGACCACACATGTTGAAGGCACAAGAAAGGACCTTAATCAATATGTTAGGATGACCACATAGCCATTTCAAATTGGGCAGGCCCTAAGTTCATCAGTTGTGGGCGTGGGGCTTACCTGGACCCCAAAAGTATGTAGAATAATGGCCTTTATAGCTATTATTATGGGTTTAGGGCTATTATTTTACATATTTTTGGGGTGTGGGTAGGGCATGTGTCAATGCACTTGGTCTTGTAGGCCGCGGAGAAGACGCAGCCTTCTTCTCAGATTAGATGCTGAAAGCGTCTGCGAAACCAATCAGCAGGCTAGGGTTATAGTCCCCCTTAAGTAGATAGAATGTGGCTTTGGGCAGATTATAATAGGATCCCCGTATACCCCATATTCTATCTAGTTCAGGGGGACTATAACCCCATCAGCCCAAAGAGGCCATCCCCAAAAATCCGAAACAAACACGCAACTTCCAAGGGGAGCCATACAGAATCGATTGTTAGCTTGACAGCTGCTCGATTTTGAGGAAACACATGGTAGTTTCGACCCCCTAATACTATAGCCCTTATTAAAGGGGCTCCCAAAAAGGTAGCCGCTAATCTTGATAAACCCTCATATCCGTTCCCCTAGATACACCTGAAATTCCCTGAGAATATGCTCATTCTGCATCAAGCTTCGGAGCAATCGTGGGACTGCTGGAGCCAAGTCCCGGTAGAGGGCGTCAGAGTGAAACGCAGAGTTCCCTGCATTCATGAATCACATTTTTTCAGCAGGTGAGTGAGTGCGGTGAATTAACGGTTTTTTTGGGAGCACAAGTGAAACGTTTTCAAAATCCATCTTCATTATTATGCAGCGATATCTCCGCAGCCAATTGTGAGCCGAAAGAGCCTTTTACCACACGAAACCTCCTTGAATATGATATCACACCCCCTGCAACGCCCAGCCCCTCAACCCCCAACTTCCCAACGCAGGCCAGATTGGGCCTGATAAGCTCTAGAGATCCCAGAAAACCCCCCAATCTCCACAGCCTAAAGCAAAGGAGGCAAACTTGCGGCAAGCGGAGTCATTGTCGTCGCAAAGGTCGATCAGTCGGTGGATGATTCCGTCCTCTTTGCTATCACTAGTGGGTCCCCACAGTCCAGGAATGCTCTAGTCTCCACTGACGTTTCAAGATTCCCTAAAACGCAGATCCGGAAGCGAAGACAAAAGCAAGTTGTATGAGGCCAAAGCAAAAGCACAAACCCGGTCAACCATCCAAGACCCCTATCACATCTTGAAGCCCATACGCAAAGTCGCAAGAAATGCCACCGGCATCCTGCAACATGCCGTCGTAGAACTCGTCGGAATGCCGCACCATGTTTCCCACAGCCTGAGCGCCGCAGGACCCACCAGCGCAAGCAGGTACAGTTTGCCATTTTCTGCAATCACCAACCACATCCTACGAAATCAGCCCTGCTCACTCCAAGCGGCGTTTAAAGCTTTAGCCCGGACGTTGGCATTGCCACACGTGAGCAGGTCTCGCAGTGACGAGCACAGATGCATACTGCGCAACAGTGGGTAATAGTCCTGAGACCTTGGCAAGCTTGACTTTCAAGACCCCACTGGCAAGTTGCATGTGAACACCGCAACAAACAAGCAAGCATACAAAAGTGTGATGTCCTTTAGTTAGACCCCCCACCCAGTTATAAGGACTATAAAGGGTAATGGTGATAATATTGGGATATATTAGGGTCGTATCATTGTACCGGTGTACTACTACTACTACTACTACTACTGCAGCAGGGGGTGCACCTACGATGTCCTAGTCCCAGCTTTGGCCCAAGGTTCAGCCGAGCCAGCTGCGAAATGATCACCAAGACGTCAACGACCACCTCGGCTCTGCTGTGAGAGATAGCACAGGCTGTAGGGTTTAGGGTATGGAGTTGCCCAATATCATATTAAGAGTCCCATATACCCCATTATGTCTACCTAATGGGGACGATGTATTTGAAAATGCTCCAACCAAAAGCAGCCATTGCCTGTAACCCAAAATGTCTTCTGTTGTTCCGTGGGCTTCTGCAATAATATAGGTTAAGTGTCGGTCTTAATTTGTCCTAATTAAGGGGGTGGGAGTTGCTGCCAACCAAATGTTTCCGGCTGCATTTTCCACAATGTCAACTGTGTGGGGTTGAGTAAAGGACCCAAAGGCATGAAAACAACCCAGCCCCTGTGGTTCCGAAACTCAGTGCCGCGTGACATTGGCATCCTCTCTGGATGTTGTGGCCAACTCTGGGGAAAGCAGCCGCCGACTGACCACCATCTGCAGACCTGACCAATGACAGCGCGGCCCATGACATTCAGCACTCTTTTTTCCTTGATATTTGAGACATGGATTTCTGACACGTGCCAGCTCTGTCCAAAAGGACCAGCGCCTCCACGCTGCACGAACTCGTAAGCCAGCAAATGGTGATGCAACACTAGCACCTGGCAAGTGTGAGGCGCGTGCGCGCATTGGCAGCAGTGGTGCGGACACCCAGTTGCACACTCCATTTCAGCCCTGGCACGGCCAAAAGTTGGAGCGCGCACGAAATTGCTGGAGAGCAGGAATCACTTCCTGCACAATGGCGTGACACATGTAGGGAAGTTTACTCTCTGCATTGGAAGCTCATGGCATATTTCTAGAAACGCCAATCATGTGAGCACGGACGCGTATGAGACCCACTGCTTGGAGGTCAGTGGGACTTAGTAAGTAGGTTACTAACGCGTATGACCCATGTAGTAATCCTTGTTATCCCCACCAGTAACCCACTTACTACGTCCCCCCGACCCTCCAAGTAAGTCCTCCAAGTAAGTCCCACCAATGAACACAATTTTCTGGAAGCAACTATACGCAACACAACCACCCCACCTTGTTCAACAGGAGCTCCGGCGAGAAACTTCCTCAGACGCAAAAGCTTGTCAACATGCCCCCAAACCGGCATCGCATGCATGCATCTGACATGTATCAAACATGTTTTTATGCCGCCCGGGTGGCAAAAGCGCAGCCACAATTCCATACGCTTGGAATGTCTGTTGCAACTCTGCTATGTCCGCGTTGTTGGCAATGGATTCGAAGATCTGCAAGAGCAGCTCAACGCCGGCCTCCCCGTGATCAAACATGTATGACCATGCTTCACGCAAGCCGTACTGAGGGGAGGGACCCCAAAACCATTCAACAGAATGTTTGCCCCGTAGCGTTTTTCAATGTTTGCAACCCTCTCATTTCCCGACGTAGGTGCCTGCACGCCGTTGGCTAGTGGCATTCCTGCGGCGCTCGTAGCCGACAGACCAACCACAGACCTAGACAGTGTGTGTGTCCCACGAGAATTTTCCACCCCGCAACCCCTTCAAGCCCCAAATCAATGAACAAAAAGTGTGTCAAATTTTTGTTGCGATGCAGAATGGGTTTTCACAGAACACGCTCTGGGAACAAAATTGAAGCCTTTGACACGTCAACAGCTACAACGCAAACGTAAAAAAAAAAAAACACGTGTTTGGAAGGGGAGGCGGTCATGGAAACCCCATTTCGAAATCTTGCATCCTCAGCAAATACTCCTCTTCATATCGACAATATGGACCAGGTAAATATGAAAACGGAAAACCATAAATAACAATGTCATTAATGATTCATGTTACTTGTTTGGTTGGTCCGGTTTCCCCAGGATTCTTGTACAACAATAAAATCCTTCGGACAAATACGAGAACAATGGAAAGCTAAGGAAGGAAAGGATCCGCAATATAGGTGGCCCTTTCCCCCTGCAATCTTTTCCGGCCTTCTCTGGCTGAACCCCCCCTGCGGTCATTTCTCGGTATCGCCCAATTCCCTGCTTCAGTGAGTTTGGGTGTGGGGTGGTTTCACATGTTTGGAACATGTGTCTGCACAAAAACATCCGAACAACCTCATATGGTATGAAGGCGGCCACCCCACATGCAACTTCATATCTCCAAGCGGCTTCAACAATGACATGCTTGACCTCAAGGTCGCCACATCGCATTCCAGGAACTCCTGCATGGAAGAACGTTCCCCGACAGCACAAAAATCGTCCTTACCGCACACGTGACGTCCTTCCATGCCGCCAGCAAACCCACTAACCGCAGAAGACCGTGAGGACTGAACTGTTCCGGGCTGATTGTCCGCAAGGCTGCATTCAGCACTTGCCTTGGCAAACCATCAACAACAATCAAAACGGTGATGCGCGTGGGCAATCATGCAACAATTGCTTGATCAAGAACGACGCTGCAACAATAACAAAATAGAGAAAAGCCAAAGGAGAAACCGCCCCAACAGGAAGAAATGGTGCTGGTGGCGGCGGTGGCGGTGGCGGTGGGGCGGGGGTGGGGGCGGTGGCGGGGTCGGTGGAAGGGGTGGCGGCGTGGCGTGGGAGTGCCTGTACGCAGTGGGGATAGTAGACGTCGCAATAATAGGCGTCGTCGTCGTAATCGTAATAGCAGCAGCAGCGGCGGCAGCAGCAGCAGTAGTAGTAGTAGCAGTAGTGATAGTGGTACCAGTAGTAGAGTAGTAGCCGTAGTAGTAGTAGTTGTTGTTGTGGTAGTAGTAGTAGTAGTATTAACAAGTAGTAGTAGTAGTAGTAGTAGTAGTTGTTGTTGTTGTTATAGCAAGAGCAGTAGTAGCAGTAGTAGTAGTAGTTGTTGTTGTAGTGATTGTAATTAGTAGTTCCAGTGGTAATCGCAATACTGATGGTAGTAGTAGTTGTACTAGTAGTAGTAGTAGTAGTAATAGCAATAGTAATACCAACAGTAGTAGTAATGAAAATGGTAACAATGGCGGCGCGCAACAGCACCACCGGCAGCAGCGCACGACGATTACCACGATTGCTACGGCTTGCATCTAGAGTTTACTTCTGCTGCTACCATTGTGTTTGCTGGAGGAATATTCTCCAACATCACAGGGAACAACAACAGCAACAGCAACAGCAACAGCAACAGCAACAGCAACAGCAACAACAACAACAACAACAAGAACATCCACATTGGAATGTCAGGCTTTATTGCCGTGCACTAGTCGTTACCCAAACTCGCGCGGTGCCGACAAGAAGTATCGAGGTATCGCACTCAGAATAGTTAGGGGAATCAGGGGGCGAAGGTCCCTTTCATAGCCCAAACCCCATTTTCAGGGCCGAAAACGCAGGGCTTGGTTTGTGGAGATGTGGTTGTTTGGGCTCTATTTTGTGCACTGTTCATGGCGTTGCTGCTAGTGTCGGGGTGTTTCTGGCGTTGTTGTTGATTAGCTCCAGACGCCTTTCAAATGAGTATTAGATGCGTAACAGAAACGAAACTGAGCCCAACTGTATGAGCGGACATAGGTGGAGGGACCTGATCGTAAAAACCTGTGGAGCTTCAAGCTGAAGAATGGGAAGTTTTAGATGGACAACTGGAAAATTCCAAGCGTAAACGTGGACGAATCCAAATGACAACACGACATGGCACGGCACAACACAACACGGGAGCTCAACATATACGCACAAACACGCATTTTTCGATCCAACGCATGCTACAAAACATATATGTGCATACACGTACACGTATGTGTACATATAAAAACACAGCGTCACGTGTATAGATGTGTATGTACTTATGTACACACATATGCGTATACACACACATGTTTAAACATATATGTGTATATGTATAGTAAAATTTTTGTTGTGTATACATATGTATATACCTGGGCGTTGCCCATTTATATTACCTTTGTAATGAAATGACCTCTTCGCGGAATCCAAAGTTCCTTTCGCGCACACCATCGTGAGCCTTCGCGGACAAAGACCAAGCCCTGAACTTTCAGAAAAACTCGTGACCCATACCCTCAGCTCCAAAACCGAGCTGAAGGACCACAACGCATGCCGGAAAGGTGAAATGGGGTTGGAACCTACCCAAGCCCTCAACTCCAACACCCAATTGCAGAAGCTATGTCGTCTCCCTATGGCTTGCAATGCTGGGGGTTTGCTCGGCCTTCGCGACCTTTCGCCGATCTTTCGCGGACCTCTCGGGGATTTTTCAGGTAGGAATTCTGAGACTGCGCCTGTGCCTCAGAAAGACTTGCAACCCTTTCACCTCTGAGCATGCCTGGAAACATGCCTGCGGATTTCAAGAAAAGGGAAATGTCTTTGAAGGCAAGTAAAGGGAACATAGCTTACGATACATCTTTCGCGAAATCCAAGGTTCCTTTCGTGAGCACCATCGCGACCTTTCGCGGAAGGTCTTTTAAGCCAATCGTGGTCGTCTTATATAAAAACATCCACATGGGGTTTTCGGGCGATGCCCACGTGTATTTATATGTGTTTATATGTAAATATACATACATGTATCTACACATGGATATGCGTGCATATGCCAGCATGCTGGTTATCGCAAGTTTTACCACGACCATCTGCAAAAGTTCAGACAGAATGGCGGCGACTGCTTCCCGCAGCATGTTTGGTCCACCGCCTGGTTTGGATTCGAGTTTACCTTGGCCTCATTCTGCATGCCTGGAATCCACGGGTGCGCGAATTCACGGAACGTTAACACATGCAAAGTTGGGCGGGGACCAGTTTGCCCAACATCAACAGCACACTAGCAATTAGCACATCATGTCAATCGCCTCCCATCGAACACATGGTTCAAACGTATTTTGGACTGGTCACCGCAAGGGGCTCGTAATCTTGGATGTCCCCAGAACACATGGTCGATACGACTGGAAGCATTTGCCAGAACCATGGGTTGGCGCAGCTGGATGGATCATGGTGTAAATCTCCGAAAGTGGCAGTTTCCATGTGCTGCGTTTGTCGCGTTCGTGCAGCAGCGAACTCGTGTACACTTTTAGTCCCACCCTTGACCAACACAATGTAGTAGCTCCACATTTGCCTGCTCCCCAAATGGCCTGCCTAATGGCATGCAGGCTTGACTTGATTTGACTATGCCAGCATGAAGCCAGCATCTGAAAAAACACATTTTATGTGGGATTATCTGGTCTTGCGATAAAACCGCGGCATCATGACAATTTGCCATCTGCCCAGCTGAGGGGGCTTTTACATGGTCACGACGCGTTGTGTTGCCGGGGTTGCTGTGTCACGATGTCATTCATGCAAGGTACGGGTGCGTGCCTTCGGGGTTGCTACGCGGCACTGTTGCGAATTGAAAGCTTTGGGGTGTCATGCTGCTCAGCGGCAACTATCTATTCATCAGCTTCGGGTCCTGGATTATCCGCACACTGAGAGTTCAAAGTTGCGCGGCGTGGCGGTAACGCATGCTCGGGGAACACATGGAGTTGTAGAACAACCCGGCTTTTTTACATTATGTCATGACTGTCTCGAGATGGCGCGTAGCCTGTAAAACAATAAGGTGTAAAAAGGAAAAGGTTTCAGGAACCCTCGAATATTGTAAAACCATAAAGGGTAGAACACTGATAAGGTTGAAATTTAAAAAGGATTTCATGCGGTTTTTGTACAAACCTACATGGTTTCTGTTTCGTCGGGGTTTGGGGCATCAATGCATGACAACATTGGTAGTCCTCGAACGCGTGTCTAATCACGAACGCAGCATGCGCACATGATAACGCACGAGATCTGATCGAAATGAAGTTGTGACATACGATGGCATATGATAGCGTTCGCTTCGATTTCTGCAAGTCCAAAGCCATGTGCCAAGTTGCAAATCACCGTGGAAGTTCGACGTCTCATCCGGACGTCTCGCTACATTCTCCCAGGGTTCGGGCGGGGGCAAAATTTCCAGCCCCTTTGCAACAGGAGCTTGTTGGCTAGCTTGCGACGTTTGCCGTGCTGCAGACGCCCTGTCAGTAGCTGATGCCAGCTGTCCTGGGTCTGCGACAAACGGGTGATGCAGCAAATCTGGCCACCCAAGCCGCATCTTCGGGTCCTTTTGCAACAAACCTTGCAAAAAGGACCGGAAAGTCTGTGACATCGACTCCGGAAAACGCACAGGCTTCTCCACGATCAGGCGGATCAATGCCATCAACGAATTGGTGTAAAAAGGTGGCTGCCCCACAAACAGCTCGTAGCAGATAACGCCCAATGACCACAAATCCACGCTACCGTCGTATGGCTGCTCTTGCACCAGCTCAGGTGCCATGTACAGCGGTGTGCCCTTGATAGACGTGAGTACGGTTGTGTCACTGGACATTGCCCGTGCGAATCCAAAGTCGCACAGCTTCACTGTGCCATTGGAACCAATGAGAACATTCTGCGGCTTCATGTCGCGATGAATCACTTTCTGAGAATGCAAGTAATTCAGTGCTTTGACCAATTGCCGAGCTATATTGCTGACTTCCGCTTCTGGCAAGCGCTTGTCGTCCTGGAAAATTTCAAACAGTTCGCCGTATGCAAACTGCGTCACGACCACAAAGTCTGTGGTAGTCTCAAACCAATCCAACAAACGAATTATGTTTTCGTGCTCTAGACGCTGCAGAATTCCTATTTCAAGGCGAAGCTGTTGCTGGTCTTTTTCTGGCTTGCCTCGCTTGGATATGAACTTCATGGCCACAATTTGGCCCGTGTGCCGGCGCCTTCCTTTGTATACTTTGCCAAAGCATCCTTGACCAACCAGATGCAAAACATGATATTTGTCCATCTGGCTTGAACTCATTTAATATGGTGTATGCGGCAGCAGCGTCCCTTTGTGCAGCCACATGTGCCGTTGACTATGGCAGAACGCAAGAAACTTCTACTTGTTTTGGTCCAACGTGTCATGCTAGTTGTGTCTGACTGTGCTTGGGTGTGCCTGGGACTCAATGCTGTGCAATAGCAGCAAAGAAGATTGCAAACAATGTTTCCATGCCATGAACCTGTTGGATGACAGAGCAATGGCTTATGTGCCGGAGCAAATGCATGCCATGCAAGCAACCCCATTGCAACAAGAAGAGTTTTCCTGTTAAGGAGGCGTGGGACGTGTACGTACCATCGCTGAATAGACTCATTGCGCAAACTATTGCCTAGACTTCCCAGCTTCAACTGGTGTATTCCAAAATACCTATTTTCATATATGCATGCGGAGCATAGCCACTGTTACAACCATCACCAATCGGGTAAGTAAGGCCTGCTTCCAAGGTTTAAGGATCTTTGAGGGTAAGTAACCCTGCCTCATGAGGACTTTGTAAGAAATATCGAGCCCCACTTCAAGTAATTAGTCTTGACCTACAGTGACACAAGCTGACATTCATGGCCATTCACTTTTGTTGGGACGTGTGGCGCGCAGCTGCGCCCGTCACGCGACAATGCGGCCAGTTCTGGCCGTCAAAGATGATATGATGTGATTTTCCGGGAATCGGGGAGTGCGCTTAAGAAGGCGGCCCCAATATCTTAAGTGTGGATACATGCTTGAAAGCTTCTATACACTGCCGGAAAATCCGTCTATGTCCTGTCCGGTCATGGCGCGCAGTTTGGCCGCTTTGGCCACAACTTGCAGCTTTTAGCTGGGCTTCCCGCCTGTCTATCTGTTGCAGAGCGAAAACAAAAGGGGTATGACTGAAACATGCGAAGCTCCCCTGGCAATTCACAAGGCCCCTTCGCACAAAACTTTTTCTAGATGTCTTGCCTCACTCAGCCTCAATGACGGATGCCGCGCCCATGCCGCTTCCCAAGCACATGGAGGTGACGCCCAACTTCTTGCCCTGTCGCTTCAGCTCGGGCAGCAGGGTGGCGATCTGCCTGGCACCTGTGGCACCGAGCGGGTGGCCAAGGGCGATTGCGCCTCCCTTGGGGTTCAGCTTCTCCATGGGGATCTTCAAGTGGTCGCAGGACATGGTCGCCTGGGACGCGAAGGCCTCGTTGATCTCGTAGATGTCAATGTCGTCGACCTTGAGGCTAGCCTTCTCAAGAGCAACCGGGATGGCAAAGGCAGGGCCAATGCCCATCAGCTTGGGGTCCACACCAACGCACGCAAAGCTACGGAAGCGGGCGATGATGGGCAAACCCATCTTCTTGGCCGCGGAGCGGCGGGCCAATAGGACCATGGCCGCACCATCGGTCACCTGACTGGAGTTTCCTGCCGTGGTGCTGCCGCCGGCACGGAAGGCAGGCTTCAGCTTGGACAAGCTTTCCTTGGTGGTGCCCTCTCGGGGGCCTTCGTCCTCGGTGACGACCTTCTTGGTCACGCTGCCGTCTTTGCCCTTTACTTCAATCGTCACTGGCACGATCTCCTCCTTGAACCAGCCGTTCTTCTGAGCCTGGATTGCCTTCTTGTGAGAATCCTCTGCCATGGCATCTTGGCGGTCCCTGGAGATGCCATAAGCTGCGGCCACGTTCTCGGACGTCAGGCCCATGGGGAGCAAACAGGCCTCTGCGTTCTCATAGTCCAGGATCTTGGCAGAGAGCTTGGTGATGTCGATGGTGGCCATCATGGGGAACATGCTCATGTTCTCCACACCGCCGGCAAGGCCAACATCGATGATGCCGCTCTTGATGGCTGCTGCGATGTAGGCTGTTGCCTGAAGGCTACTGCTGCACTGGCGGTTCACCGTGCTCAGGGGAATGTCGTAGGGCAGCTCAGCCATGAACTGACCCATGCGAGACGTGAGTCCGCTGGCACCTGGCTGAAGCACGTTGCCGACCTGGATGTCTCCAATGTCCTTGGGGTTCACCTTTGTCTTCTCCACGACAGCCCTGAACACGAAGGACAGGAGCTCCTCTGGAGACGTGTTCGCAAAAGAACCTCGCTTTGCCTTGCAAAGAGGGGTGCGAACCGCACAGCAAATCACCACATCGTCATCCGCCTTGTCTGCCGTGCAGAAGCCTGCTGTGGGGGTGGCTGCAAGCTGTGCGTCCGGGCTCGAGAGGCTGGCATTCACATGGGAGGCGACGCGAGACACACGGTTCATGGCTACTAGTGCCCTTTGAGGCGCCTCACTACAAACTTGAAGACTGCTAACGGCAACGCTCATTTGCAGAATGGAAGCGCTGACTCGTCAGGGGGAAAGATGCAGCGGCCCGCACCCGTTTATGGTCAGAAATTATTTGGCGTCTCAACCCCAAGCCCCGTGCATGAACCTCTATGTCATCCCTAGATAGCTTTTCTACTGGGCTCACCTCGTCGTGAGCTCGCATGAGGGTGGATCCGCAGAGTCAAAGACTCACGAGCCTGTCACTAAGTCCCACTATCCCAACAGGAGGCGTTCGCTGTGCTGATATCATGGAAGGATGTTCTGCTAAGCTACCCTTCCTGGATTCCAAGCATACATGCAGTCTCAGCGGTGTAGTATAGAAACATGCTGATTATTGTCGGTACACCCCGGTCATCACAAATGTGATTCAAGTGTCGGCAAAATGAGTAAGACTCACTACAGTCCAAAGCTATCTGATAGTGCTTTTATTACCTACTGTGAAGGACTTGGACAATTGTCATTAGCAAGTATACTTGCCGCCCCAATTGGCCGTTAAAGCCTTCTCACTAAATTCCCCTTATGATAGGTTTTTGGCTAGCCCAGGCCGAGAATGAAGGCCCTCTAATAGCCGTCATCACATGGTTATCCTGATTCTCACGCAGTCTTAATGTGGTGGGTTGGGGCGACCAACATCCTACTACTGCAGCATCCCAATCGTAAGGACTATGGCTTTTGGGGGTCTTTGCTTGGGTTCCCTTACTTTGGAAACTACCGAATCTACCTGGAATAGTTACATGGAAGGTTCGCAAGCGTCGGGGCTTGTGAAAGGCATGCTCTCCACGAGGAGGGGGGCACATCGAAAAGCGTGGCCCCCCCAAAAATTCTGGGATGACAGCATTCAGACATGTATCATGCACAAGCCGACTTCTAAACTGCGTCACAGTGGAACCCACGGAGAAACACAAGACTGAAAGAGTGTTTAAGAGTAAGGCCATACAAGACGAGCTCAAATCATGGTTAATGTGAAACGCGTGTTCACGACCGCTATGCCTTTAAATGGTAATTTCCCAAAAGGGGGGACCCCAATATAGACCCCAATATACTATCATCCTGGCTATGGTGATCCCTCGGATTCCGCAAATAGGTTCATAAATTTTAGGGTTTAGTTTATGGCATCGTAGCAACCTCAGCAACCCTTCAGGGGGCGACTCAGAACATCCACCAAAAGTACCAAAAGTCTAAGTCTATGACGGCTTAGTGTTCAAAGTTGAGGGTTTAGGATGGTGACAATGCACGAGCGAGAGAGAGAGAGAGAGACACATATATATATATATAATGACAATATGGCTCATTTGGGGATACAAGTACTTCACACTGGATTCTTGACAGAGTCCCGCACTACATGAGCTATCGTCTAAACTTACTTGAAGGTTCATGGTGTTTA